ATTAAAGTGAAAGGAAAAATAAGAAAATGACAACAATGAAATTGGAATAGTACATTGTTATATAGATTGTCGTGGATCGACAGATCTCCTTGGTGGTCACTACCATGTAACTGAACCATCTTAAGATATCTTTTATTGTACAGGTCCATGCACCGTCAAGTGTATCTTCTGCAAATAGCTCTGGGATGTTTCTTGACCTGTTCAAGGCCCAAATCCGATATCTTAACTCAATACATACAGTGGATGCATAATGAGTACAATAACCTACACAAAAAGTAATGACATGAGCCTCATTTATTTTTTGAACAGGTGGTTCTAAAATTTTCGCACAAAAAAGATATTTACAGATCACTAGTTTGTTGCCTGGTAGCTTTTCGCAGTAATGATTGGCCACTGATAATCTTATTGTCATACGACCATTCTTCAAGTATGGCAAGTCTCACACGTCTGGCAACAACATCACGAAGAAACCTCACAAATGGTCTGTCACGTCACGTCTGCCAATGGAGAAACCTCACAAATGGTTTCATAGTATCCAATGATATTAGATATAACCGAGAGTGAAAGGTGGAAAGCTTGAACGTGAACTGAGGAAGAGGAAGAAGATGTATGGCCGACTGAAATTGGCAATTGAAAATCTACTGCGAGAGATGGAGGAAAATCACCAATGCACCCTTATTTCTCGTCTCCTCCATCTCTCGCAAGAGATTTTCAATCGCCAATTTCAGCCGGCCCTAGATCTTCCGCCTCAGTTCACGTCCAAGCTTTCCACCTTCACTCTCAGTTATATCTAATACCACCATAAAATATGGATCCAATTAAACCATTTGTGAGGTTTCTCCATGATGTTATTGCCAGGACGTGGCAGACCATTTGTGAGGTTTCTCCGTGATGTTGCCAGACGTGTGATGTTGCCAGACGTGCCAAACGTTTAAGACGTGTGAGACTTGTCATACGTGAAGAATGATCGTATGACAAACAGATTATCCGTGGTAAACCAATCATTACTGAGAAAAGCTACCAGGCAACAAACTCCTTATTTGGATCTTGTTGAGTATTTTTTTTTTCGTGTTAAAATTTTAGAACTACCTGTTCAAAAAATAAATGAAAATAAATGAGGCTCATGTCATTACTTTTTGTGTAGGTTATTGTGCTCATCATGCATTCATTGTATGTATTGAGTTAAGGTATCGGATTTGGGGCCTTGAACAGGTCAAGAAATACACACTTGCACTTTTAAAGTTGTGCTACAGCTCAAAATCTCTGTCAAACACTAAGTCAAATTGTTGATGAGGCAACTTCTCAGCGAAGAGTGTTCTAAGAACAAGCCTCTTTCCATCAATATTCACAAACAGCTTCATTTCCCTTTTTTTTCTTTTTAACCTCAACAATCAACAAGACATTATAGTACAGGAAATTATTATGAAAGGAAGTGACAACATTTGTTCATAAGAATTGTTTGGGACCTGAGAAAGATGCAAGATCATCTGATCACCAGGCGAAAGATACAAGGATGGCGAGGGTGAGCTCAGAGGAGTGAGCTCCGGCTAGTTCGCCGATCGCTGAGGCTCATCGTGAATGTGGACTGGCTGTGGTCGTGGCTGGAACTCTTGCCGGCGGGAGGATGCCGGAAATGGAAGCTCGCGCGGCGCTGGGAAGGTGGTGGTGAGCTGGGGGGGAAAGAACGGCGGTGAAGCTTTGTGGAGCCGCCGGAGCTGGAAAGGGGACGGCGGTGGAGTGGCTGTGCGAAACGAGCTGGAATCGTGGCTGCCGACGAGCTGGAATCGTGGCTGCCGGCGAGTGATCGCGACGGAAACGTCTCGCCGGAGGGAAGAACTGGACGGCGACTTTGCCGGAGATGGAAGCTCGACAGCGGGAAGAGGTGCAACGGCTCGGAGACGGCAGGAATCATGGTACATGTTGTACATGTTGTAATTTACTCAATGCAATTTTTCACATGTACATGTTGTAAGTCTTATTCATTTCTTGTAAACGCGTGGCTTCCTATTTTGTTTTTGTATCTAGTAAACTTGACAAAATATCAATTTCAAAATTGTACAAAGAATCATGGTCACAAGCACTCAAAACTCAAAGGCACAACATATAAATTGTTAATGCATTATGTCACAAGTTTGTTAACCTTTACCTCGCGATAACAAACACATCTCCCAAAGTCTAATAGTTCCCATAATCCAAATATATGGCAAACCCAGCTCAAGCTCAGTAGTGAAAGTTTGTTGGAGATTAATTCAAATCATCAACTATAATACTATATCATTCAAAACCACTTTAAATTCCATGCCCCTAATACTACTTTTAAACTGATTCATAGGCCTACATTCGGGCATTAATATGGGTAATGAAAGCTCAGCCATACACCTCACTTCCTTTCTCCTTAATTTTCTTAAACTTTTTAAGCCTTCATTAAGGCTAATTAACTAACCCTTAATTCTCTGAAACTTAGACATTTTTAGGCGGCCTCAACATTGCATAATATGGTTTCGGCACAACATAATAATTCAAAGCAAAAACATCACATATTATGCCTCTCTTTTCCTCCATTTTTATAACTCATTTAATCATGCATTTAACCTTTTCTTAAACTGAATTTTAAGCCTCATTTCCAGCATAAATTCGCATTGGTAAAGCTCAGCACAGTTCATACCATTTCAGGGCATGTACAACTCTCTCTCTCTCTTAACATTTCACTAGAAACTTAAGCATGAATATCACGCATTTCATTTCAGAATTTTAGCATGCTTTAATCTTCTCATGTTAATTGAATTCTTTAAACTCAATAGCTCGGCCATAAAAGAGGTAACATCGGGTTCAGCCAAAAATACCTTCTCGGCTAAATAAGAAATGGAGAAGAAGGGCTAGTCTCGGTTATTCTGGTTCGGCTTGCTGTGATGAAGACCGGCCGCTGTTGGTGGTCCTCTCCGGTCAGGGGCTCTTCTCAGCCTCGTATTGCAGCTCGTTGCTGGTGGCCCTCAGTTGCAAAAAGGGTCGCTTACGGGGTAGCTCATTTCTTGTAAGTTTATGGTGAGTTTCTGAAGGGTGTAACATGGGGGTGACGGCTTCAGCTGAAACGGGGCTTAAATATGGAAGATACTTGGGCAGCTTGGAGGCTTAACCGTGAGGGATGAGAGGGGCCTTTGAATTTGTATAGTGAAGGGTGAAGGCTAGGAAATTTTCAAGACTTAGGCTGTTTTCGTTCTAAGATGTAGAGTGAAGATAAGATGAAATGGGGGACTAAGTGGATAAGTGAGTTGTAGGTGGAAGATGAGGGTGTAGTCTATTTATATGTAATTACTAGAGTTTGGAAGTGTTATTGGGCTTTTAAAATTGGGCCTAGCATTTAATCAACTTGGACTTAGGAAATTAAATACCGATAAATAGATTGAACAATTAAACGTTGGGCTCGGTAGATAAATAATTGGATTGGTTGGCCGGAATAAAAGTAGCCCACTTAAATGAGCTCAGAAATTGGGCTTGTTCGGAAATTAAATAAATTCTCGACTTTTCTATTGCTCGATTAAAATAATAAATCGGGACTAAGTATTAGAATTTTATCTCGTTTCAGAAATAAAAATTCGAACGTTTTCTCCATGGCTTAAACTTAAAACTTGATAAATTATGCGATTTATAAAAATAAAATACGGCATAATTATGAACTTACTCTTTCTGAAAAATAAAGTCGAGCTAATATATAAATTTGGTTCGGGGCTTACATTTACTATCGAGACCCCTCTCGGTGTAGTTTGTAGGTAATCGAGGCTCGAGTAAAGCTAGTTTGTGATATCACTGGTCTACAAGCCGGTCTGGAGTAATTTTCATATCAAATTAGCGTCGTATGTGGGAAGATCTAGTCTTTTACTGGTTGATGAGGCTTGATTTTCTCGTAATCTTATTTTCTCGTATTCAACAACCAAGACGAAGATAGTTCGAAGAAGAACTAGGCAAATATATGGAGGAGGCGTGGGTGTCCCGAGCCCCTTTAGACAACCAAGCCAACACCCAAGTCACGACGAGGGTGACATTACCAAGACCACACAACGCCTTGACCCCAACAATGAATCATGTCGCCGACCTACCCCAAGACAGGAGCCATTGGCTCCCTGACAAGAGACACTACCAGAGGAGGAGCAGGGTAGATTGTTGTCGTTCACAACATGAGACCACTTGAGAGGGTCGAGGCACAACAGCTCGAGGCCCCAAGAGTTGTTCGATCTTAGGTGCAGGAGAGAGGACAACTAGAGAACCTCGGGGGACCTTCGACAGAAGGTCCCAAGAGGGGATCAACTTGTTTAACTTACAAGAGCGGAGTTGGACATGATCATAACCGAGGCGGTGGTCCAAGGTAGGAACCGCCACCTGTTAACCAGGCTGCTCATCATCTGTAGTTTGATCGACGAGCTAAGGAGGAAGAAACCATATCTACTAATTCCCCAAGAAGTATCCCGACCCGCGATGCATCCATGCCACTTTGGAGAGGATGGCGGCTCAATTATGCAAGTTGCAAGCAAGGGTATAAGGCATGCCAACACCAGGAATTCACGGACACACGTTTGTCGATGAGGTGTTGAAAGTCGACTTACTAGTTAACTTTTGTGAGCTTAAATTACACAGAACATTTAGATTTTAGATCTAATTTATTTTCTATTTTGTTTTTCTTCGTTATAGTGAAATTAAAACCAAACAAAGTAACATGTGTGGTCTAAGCTAAATTACGTCTCAATTTTTATGGAAAAGTGACAACTTTCCATTTATATTCCATTTAGTTTTTGAGAAATCATTGCATTCTCTCTCTTCAATATNAATAGTATTGTCTCCACACAGTGGCGAAACAACATTGAGGGCCGGAGTGGCGCCGGCCCTCCCAAAAAAAAAAAAATTGAGGGTTTTGGTGAGAGGTTGAGGCAATCGAAGGGGCTGGAAATGGAAGGGCGCCCTTTGAGCGCCCTTCCGATGCCGCCGGAGGCCCGAAAGAAGATGAATCTGGACCCTCCCCGTGCTGGGATACTGGTTTCGCCACTGTCTCCACATATCTCTAGTAGCAAACAAGATCTAGTAGCAAACAAGATGAGGCGTATGTGGACAAATATAGTCAATCTTCTCTCGAGTAAATATAAATAAGTAATACAATACATACTGGCAAGACTCCAATTTTTTTATTTTTTTATTATTATTTTTTTTAATCGGTACAATACTCTCCATTTTTAGATTATCGGTACATCACTATTCACTATACATTCTACCTATTCATTCTTCAACATGTCTGCATTTTCTTAACAGAATCGAGGTCAATTAGACATGGCTGTTTATGCAGCCGTGCTTTCCCTGATTCATACCATAGATCAGATTCAGAATCATCCCCGCCCTCCGGTTTCTCTTGACACAAGACAGGTTCAATCTCTATATGAAAAGCTCAAATTCTTTCAAAACTTTCTCGAGAATTATTCCATTGATGATGCTTCCAGCAAAGATTTAGAGGGCTTGGTGAGTCGCATAGCCGATGTAGCATATGAAGCAGAGGATATAATTGAATCCCATATAGCCGATCAGAATGAAGCTGCAAAAGCCAGAAGCACTACTAAGAAGGAAAATATCAGTCCTATTGACTTGTATCAAGGTCTCGAGAAAGTTTTGTCAAACTTAGATCTGATCGAAAGAGACGTGAAGGAAATTATACAGCATAAAGGAATTCAACTGCAAAGAAATTACTCAATTCCAACTGGTCGGCCGCCTATATCTCCTTCAATGGTGGGTCTCGATGATATATTGCACAAAGCCATGGATAAGCTGACCGGCCAACAATCGAGTCGCCAGGTCATCCCCATTGTTGGGATGGGTGGGATTGGTAAGACAACTCTTGCTAGAAACATATATGTAAATCCGCTTATTGTTGAACACTTTCAATTTCGTGGTTGGGCTACAATTGCTCAAGAATCTGATTGGAAAGAGATTCTTTTGGAAGTCTTTGTTTGTCTAAATACCATAGGGAGCAGGGAAAGCTTGAGTGAAATGGGGGAGCATGAATTAGGAGAAAAATTATACAAAAATTTATCGGGTAGAAGGTATCTGATTGTGATGGATGACGTGTGGAGCACCGATGCGTGGGATAGGATAAAGTTTTTCTTTCCGGATAACAATAACGGGAGTAGGATAGTGATAACCACTAGGCTATCCAACTTAGCTTCTCAGTTGAGTGGCTCTAGTGGCCTTGAGATGGGTTTTCTAGACGAGGATAACAGTTGGAACTTATTTCGAAAAAACGTGTTTGGAGATAAGGATTGCCCTATGGAGTTGGAAGAAATCGGTAAGCAGATAGCAAGAGGTTGTAAAGGCCTTCCTTTGTCGATTGTTGTGATCGGTGGACTGTTGGCGAAGTCTAACCAGACAAGAGAACACTGGAATTACATTTTGGAGAATTTGAATTCGGTTGTGAATTTAGATGACAACGAACGTTGCTTGAGAATATTAAGTTTGAGCTATAATCATTTGCCGGTTCATCTAAAGCCGTGTTTTCTTTACATGGGAATATTCCCCAAGGACCGTCTGGTTAAGGCCTCCACGCTTGTCAAGCTTTGGGTAGCTGAAGGGTTTTTGAAACCGATTAACGATAAAACAATGGAATTAGCCGCTGAGAAGTACTTAAAGGATCTTGTCCGGAGAAATCTAGTTTTAGTTGGGGAGCTCGGGTATTATGGAAATATTAAACTTTGCAGGGTCCATGATCTCTTGAGGGACCTATGCATTAAAGTAGCCGAGAAGGAGAGTTTTTTCTGTGTGGCAACCACAGATAATCCTAACACGGGGCAAAAGTGGCACACTCAACGTCGAATAGGTATTCATAGACAGGAAATGAGTTTCAAACACATTCCCGAATCACTCTGTAAGAACGTGAAATCTGCATCGCTCGCTCGTTCGGTGATTTGTAATGTCGATAGAGTTGCACCTGCACGAAGTCCCGCTCGATTGTTGAGGGTTTTTCACCGGATCAAAGTTCTTTACCCGAAATATAAATATGATCTGAAATATATGTTCCGACCGATCAACTTGCGCCACCTGGCAGCCGCAGCATGGCTACCGATTTCCGGCGAGTTTCCGCCTTTATTCTACCACCTCTGGAATTTGCAGACTTTAATCGTTGACCATGATATTTGGGGCGTTATTCCTACTCCACCGATAATCGACATCTGGAAAATGCCTCGACTCAGGCATATAAATGTCTATGATTTCCATCTCCCGGATCCCCCGAGCAATTTTGATGATTCTTACATCTTGCATGATTTACAGACGCTAAAGACTGTTTCAATTTCCGAGTGGAGTGAAGAAGCAGCCAGGAGAATCCCGAACATCAAGAAACTGAATCTAAGGCTACCGTACACAGAATCCTCGTCAAGTAATCATTACCAGCTTGATAATCTTTGCCGTCTGAATAAGCTGGAATCACTTTCTTGCAGTTTTTATAGTGCGAAAGATCCGTTAGTATTCTGGGGCCATGACTTGGCTATGAGCCTCGTTTTTCCGCATACTCTTAAGAAGTTGACTTTGTCACGTGCTTGTCTCCTCTGGGAAGACTTGGCGGAAAAAGTTGGATATCTTCCGAATCTTCAGGTGCTCAAGCTGAAAATTTGTTCTTGCAAAGGATCTGTGTGGGAAACTGTTGAAGGGCAGTTCTGTAGCCTCAAAGTCTTGGAGATCGATAGTTGGCCTGACCTGGAATACTGGATGATGGAGAACTGGACCCACTTTCCTTGCCTCGAGAGACTCATTCTCGGTGACTTGCCTAATTTGAAGGCCATTCCTCAAGAAATTGGAGATGTGCCGACTCTGAAATCGATCGAGTTGAAATATTGTAAGGAATCACTCATTATTTCGGCTAAGGAGATGGTGAAAGTGCAGCAAGAGGATATGGGGAATGAGGGACTTTTGGTGAGTGTTGTGCTGTATCACAAGAACCAAGTGGTGGAATGCTTGGCTAGTACAAATTTTATAGTGGAAATTAGGGATGTAATTGTGTGATTATAATTTATGAATGAATGAGTTATAATTGATTTTACAGGTCCGGCTACATCCAAGCTCCCGTCTAGAATGTGCACGGGTACGTGACGACTACGTGGGTACTTTGTCGATTTTTCAATGTGTTCAGCTGTCTTTTCACAATGCCCAAACTTTGAATAAAGGCTGTTTGTAGTCAGAACTCGTTCCGTGGGCTTCCACTGTGATCTGAGATGCGGCCATCACGGGATAAAAGTTTTATTTTCATTCGAGCGAACAAACAAATAGATATATACAGTATTAAATCTTTATATGAAACAATTTGTCACTAAGGTTTTAACAACAATGCATAAATTGATTTGGACCAGAGTCGATCTCAAAACCACACAACTTGATACAATTGTACAAAGCATTTGTACATCAAATTTTTTATGTACTCTATTTCATCATGACTTTCAAATATTATCGTTATTTAAAAATTATGCTTAAACTTTTGATACATATGATACAATTCATTATGCAATGTACTTTTTTTTTTTGTTTAAATATTCAAAATAATAATCCATATAATAATAAACATATAAAATAAAAATCAAATATAATTTAAAAACACAAAAGGAAATATGAATTATATATTATTATGTACACCAATAAGCTAGTAGTAACTAACGGACCTAATTCTTCACATATCCCCAGCTCATCCATATCTAATCTCAAACTTTCTTCAGTCTCTGAAATCTATATATATTGAAAAAGAGAGGTCAATAAATCCTTTTGGGAAAGTTTTAAAAAATTGGTCAACAACCCCATTGACTTTCCATTTGTAGAAACTAATTTAAAAATCTTTTCAAAATATATGGTTTTTTTTTTCCTGTTTTTTAGGGATGGATATATATCTTATCACGTTAAAGGTATATCCATCCCTAAAATCATGGTATTTAAAATCTATCCAAATATCATCCCAAAAATCCTTTTAAAACAATTTTTTACTAATTAACATATATTTAAATACAAATGGTGATATCACGTTAATTTTTTACTAATTAACATATATTTAGGGATGGATATTATCATCCCAAAAATCCTTTCAAAATCCTTTTATTAACATATATTTAGGGATGGATATACCTTTAACGTGATAAGATAATTATGCATCCCAAAAATCATGGTATTTAAAATCTATCCAAATACAATCCATAATTATCTTATCACTTTTGTTAATAAAAAATTGTATAAAAGGATATTCACTACCACCATTACAACTCATCATTCACGAGTT